TTTCATCCAGACAGCTTCCCGTGCCCCACCTGCAATGGCACGGCGCCCCCCCTAGGGGGCGCGCCCCACAGTTTGGGAACCTCTGCATTAGTGGAATATTACAGTTTTCTGCATGCAATGGAAATGCAGCTGTTGTGAAGGAAACAGCCAATAGGAACTCACCTTTCCAATAATACTCCCAACTTCCTGTGTAGGAAAGAAAAACAACCAGTTAGAAAAAGTTCAGCTCAGGAATGAGCCTGGATCTGTGTTCGCTCCAGCAGCACCGGGTCGATGTAAGCTAGCAGGAAGCGATGCAGCAGGACCGATGCTCTCATCCAGGGCCGGCCCAAGCCTTTTTGGGGCCCTAAGCAGATTTTTGTTTGGGGCCCCTCATACCAAGATGCTTCATCATTCATAAGCTAGTCTTTGTGTGTAACATAGCTGCTATCATTAGCATTATTTGTGATTAGCTCACATCATACCAGTGTTATTATGACTAATGATTTTAACCTTACAGGAGTAGCAAACTAAAAAAATATTTGGATTTTGAGATGCAACGTATTTAAGTATACCAAATTATTTTAACTATTTCAACACTGAATTTACAGTTAACAAGTAAACATGTTTAATATCTTATATTTCCTTAACAGTGACAGCAGCCATCAACAGGACGAGAGCAACAACCTTAATAATTAATATAGAACATGTTTTCCCATGTGCAAAAGCATTTGGTTTGAATGTTATTTTAAATACATTATCATGTTAGCTCGGGGTTCTTGGGTGCCCCCTGGTGGTGTGGAGGCCCTAAGCAGCTGTTTAAATCTCTTATGCCTTGGGCCAGCCCTGCTCCGATGGGTTCTTTACCTTTCCGTGCATGAGGAGGCGAAGCGTGAGCGTGACCCCCATGGCCCCGTCTCCAAACTCCTGTTCACAGCTCATGGTCCGGGCGGCGGCGGCGGCGTGGTGGGCGGAGTCTGCCGCTAAGAGACGCATGAAGGTCCAAGGCGCCGAGGCGAGAGGAGCAGAACACCACGGAGAACCTCTGAAGAACCCGCTGAGGAACGATGGAAAGCCCCCGAAAAGCAACGGCTAGGTTCCGGGTCCAGATGATGGAACTGGACTGGTTGGACTGGTGGAAGGGGAAGTATCGCTTTTATCCCGGTTCTTGTTCTGTAGGAAGCAGAAAGAGAAAAACCTTTATATTATCTAGATTTTCCTTCTATAGTGAATAAAATACAGTTCAGCCAAACAGCTTGGTGCACTGCTGCCACCTTCTGGTCATGAAGGGAAAAACCTGCCAACAAGTCAAAGACCTGGTTCAGGCCCAGTAGGTTTATCATCAACGAGCACCAGGATGTAAAAACAAAAAGGTTTTAGGGTCTCCAATGTAATTTATGTGTAACTAGTAAATTAGTGAACTCAGTACAGTGTTCTCCAGGCTCAGCTGTTATTTTCACAGTTTGATTTTTTTCTCACAAATATTCAAGCACAAGTTGTTGAAAATTTATGTGAATCTGACTGTTTTTAAATTACTGTACAGTATTTCTGTCATGTTGTAAATTTGCCCCGACTGTAAAGTCTCTTCTTAATCTTTTTATCATATTTTATTAGCATGTCTGTTACGTCTGGATTTCTTTACTTTAAAAAAATAAAGGCTGGTTCTGTTCTGTTGCAGGTTGTATCTAATCTGGTGCAGCAGAGTCACCACCCAGCCAGCATGCCTAGGTGGGACCCATGTGGGGACAAGGAGGGCAGACTATATGGGTCCCATATGGGTTTGTCCGCGGGTTCCACGATGGCCCCACATGGGTTTGCCCATGTAGGGCCACAGCCCACATGGGTGCTACATGGGCCCTAATTGGACAAAACCCATGTGGGCCACCACCATATAGGGCCCATGCAGGGCCCATGTGGGCTCTGGCCCTACATGGGCAAACCCATGTGGGGCCATCGTGGAACCCGCGGACAAACCCATATGGGACCCATATAGTCTGCCCTCCTTTTCCCCACATGGGGCCCACCTAGGCATGCTGGCTGGGCAGAAGCTATGAACACAACTTCTGGTCAAACTGTGCTTCGACTACAGAGGCATTTCTTCTGTCTGCCACTAGAGGGAGCAACACAGATGTTTGTAGACTGGACTTTGAAAAGGTTGTTAGACAGTGAAAGTGATGCCAGAAGCTCAGGTTTCAGCCTGTGGGCCGTTGGTCCCAGTTTAAGATCAGTATGAACTGGTTTGCTCCCACTGTGCTCGGAGTTTAGACAACATTCCCAGTTAAATCTCCTCTGGTATGAACCCGGTGTGTTTGGTTCTGCTGCAGTAATGTGGAAATGACCAGAGTTTCTCCAGTCAGTCGATCTGAGCAGTAGCTCATGAGCTAACTGGGAGAGGAGCACGGAAAGCGCCGGAATGGAAAAGAAAGGAAAAGCTGTGAAGACGCTTAAAGTTTTCCTTTTACACAAACAAGGCAGAAACAAACAGAAATGAAACCGGCAGCCATTGCTGCACACTAATGAGAAGCTGTCCGTGGTTTGCATGCAGCCTATGGATGTGTGTGTGTGTGTGTGTGTGTGTGTGTCACACGCATCATGACTTCCTTTGATCATTTTCCCAGGAAGCTGCTGACATTTCCTTGAGCATCTGTGATTTTATGCTTCGTGTCTGAAAGTCTGTCCTTCAGGCGTCTGTCTCTATGCCAACCGGGATCCTTGGTGGTTTTAAGGTGTGCATGTGAATAAAGACGTTCATGAAGAGATTTCTGCTTCATTCCAGGCCGTGTGTGTGTGTGTGTGTGTGTGTGATGGGATTGTATGGATTGCATTGAGCCGTATGTATCCATCTCCATTTGTGCTGAGAGCGTCTGCTTCTTCCAGCCTCATAAAAAATACAGAATCTGAACCAAAGTAGGTCAGCATGCAGCCTGTCTGGCACGCGAGACCAGCAGCTTCTCATGACGTCTCTGACTGGGAACCACGGCGCTTAACGTCAGCAGCAGCAGCGAGCAAACGGATCGGCTCAGCGTTCAGATACCTGCGTTCAGGCTGGATGTGTGTGACGCTCCGTTACTTCAGGTACTGAAAAAGATTCGTTTAGTTTTCAGCTGCAACCTGTGTGTGTGAGATGTAAATCCAGAACATTATAAATTATTGAGGCTCTTTCAGATGCTTCAGCCTCTCTCCCTCTGAGTCATATATAACACGTGCACACACACACACACACACACACACACACACACGCTGTGGCCTTGTACAGAATGAACCTTGAATCTGTGAGGTCACCACTGAGTCCAGATGACATCAAGACAACTCAGAGTCACATCAGCTGATATTTTCAAGGCTCAACGTTTCATTTTCCGCTCTTTGTGGTAAATTCTCATTTATTTTACACCATCATAACAATCTGGATTATAATCCCTCATTTTAAAACTGAATTGTTCCAATATGTGGAAGAAATGGAAAAATCTAAATCTTTCCGAAGAAAACTGTGAGTCAAATTATTCCTTTTCATTTTTATCTGCTAATGAATCTGGCTTGATGCTGGTGGTGATGCTCTGTGATGGACACAACACTGGCGGAGACGAGGCGTAAACCACCATTAAAACCTGGACTACTGGGAATGCTGGTCCACCAGTAGGTTCTGAGAGGAACACCAGTCAGGACTTCAGCTGAACAGGGAACGGTTCAGCTGAACCGGTGATTAAACATCCTGATGGTCCAGTAACAGAAGTGATGAGGAACGCTGCACATAGTTACCACAAGTCTGGACCAGAAGTGATCGGCGCCATCTTGGTAGGCAAGCGCAGCACAAAGCACAGCGACCCCTGGCCTCCAACAAAAAGAAAATATGTGGAAACTCTTAACCAGCGTGTGAGAGAAAGTTACATAAACAAAATGGCTTCTGTCAGGACCGACCCGTGTAAGACAGAGAATGGAAACATGTCAGACGATGTGGACGAGCTGCCTCTGATGTCCAACTGAAGCTCACTACTTAACACGAAGAATGAGCCTGACATCTGTACAGTCAGTGTCTAAACGGATTTGTAAAGGATGAACGACGGTCAGTAAACAACAGGCTGCATGTAAAAGCTACATTAGCTGTGCTAAATTTGCTAGTTATGAAGCAAGATATAAATATAATTAATATTTATCTTAGTACTACACAGAGGCCGGTAGAGTACTAAAAATGATAATCAAGTAACAGTTGTACTGATATTGTTTATAGGTTAGATAGAAAATTGAGAGCTAATTCAAAGCTTGTGGCTTGTTTGTCGTTGCCATAGCAACTACCTACCAAGATGGCTGCCAGCTACAGAGTGACATCACATGAGAACTACAACACAAGTGTTTGTTACCATGGAGACCGAACACAGAGAAGCCGTTTGCTTCATTGTTGTCCTGCTGAGAAGAAAACAGAACCATGTTTCAGTCGGTTCTGAAAATATTTCCAATGATAATAAATGAGTTTTTAATTTTTCCAACAGGAAATGAACAAATGACTGACTGACTCTTTCTGGTGGAGTCTGTTCATTCCTCCAATCACGGCAGAGAGATCAGGACTTCACGGTTGTCCATGATTTGATTTTATTGGATCTGAACACCAGGTGGACGGCCCGACTCATTCTGGCCGGCAACAAACTGCATCCAAAACCTGATTGGATTAAACGGAGAGACAGCCGCTGGTGTCTTCATGCTGATTGGATTAAAAACAAAGACCCACGTTGGGCAAAGATCTCAAGGACAAACTGAGCATAAAAATGTCCTTTCAGTGTCTGGATCTGAGTCTTCTTTAAATATGACCGCATGTCGAGCTGCTGTAACTCACAGCAATAACCTTTCATCAGCCTGGGAGGATTCAGAGAAACTGGCTTCAGCAGAGGGAGAGATGGAAACCTGAATCAGAGCATCGTACATGTGGGCTAACAACCTGAACACAGCAGCAGACATTCCCAGCGTCCAATCAGATCGGCTTAAAGCAGAAAACAGTGTAAAAACAAACAAATAATTATGTCAACAACTTTAACACATCAGTACAATTAGTTCATCTAAATGAACAAGTTAAAGTCCATGTTAAACCCAAATTAAAAAACTCAATAGCAACAATCTCAGATATCGTATTTGCTTCAGTTTAATAAATCGTTCGGCTTTAATAAGGAGAAATGAGATCACAGCTGCATCTATTCTGATTTATTTATGTCCCAGGAACACAAACATCCCATCGTTCATCAGATTATCATCCAGCTCCTGATGGGACACAATCCAGGTTTATGATCCTGCTTCGTCTCATTCCATCAAGTGTGTGTGTGAGATAATGATGTCATGGCTGAGCAGCAGGGATGTGTGTCTATAACACAGGCTGACATCACCCTGGTGTGTGTGTGTGTGTGTGTGGCTGAAGTTTGCAGCACACACAACAGTTAAAAACAAAGTATGAGAGAGAAAAAGACAAAGCCGGACTGGGACGACCCGGTCCTGCTGGTCCTGCTGGTTCTGATGACTGTAATTAAAGGGACGGGATAATGGCAGGATGCTAACAGTAATGAAAGGTCATCCAGGAAGCAGGAGGGCGTCTCCACACAGCTGCCACTGCCAGGAAAGGATCCACAAATTAACACCTTAAACAGATCCACTCCACCCTCCACACCGACTCATTTATTCCTCCAAGAAGAATCTGGAGAGGAAGCGCTTCGTTTCCTCCGTAGGTGTGAAGCTGCTCATTTCTTCTCTGTTCACGGCCCTCCTCCTCTCTCTTTCCTCGCCGTCAGTGGGATTGAGTTAAAGGTCACGACAGAGAAACAGAAACACTGGACTGCTCTGGAGGGTTGGAGGAGAAATCCTCTCCTCTAGAAACAAGATGGCCGCCGGATTCAGAAATCCTTTATTTATCCTGAAGGGAAATTAAATGTTGATCATTCAGGTGTCTTCAGAGAGTCGCTGTGGATGGTGATGCTGTGGGCTGGAAGGATCTCCAGTAGCAGTCAGGCTTGCAGCAAATCTGAAGGAGCCTCTGACTGAAGACTGTCTGTCCTGACATGCTAGCAGCTCAGCATCTGAAACAGAGACAACATTCCACAGTAACGTGTAGTTGATGACGCCATCAGGTGCTAATCCACCTCCTTTGCTTTTGCTGCTTCTCTTTAAATCTCAGTCTGGTTAGAAGCCGGGCAGAGAGA